ACCTTCTCCTCTCTGTCAACGCTCTCTGGTTTCATTTAAAAGAGTCGATCATCAGATATTGYCCAAGATTAACCTTCAGGGTGGATATAGCTCGCTAGCAGCCTTGCACCGAGGACCTATCCACGTCACCATTTACCCAGAATGCTTTGCGTGTAGAATGGCTCCGTCAGTGTAATATATTTTTAAACTTCTAGTTTTAAAATTATAAAAACTGAACATCCTGCAGTATTTTTAGTCTTTATTTTACAGTTAAAATATGTTTATCAAATAAATTCTAATGTTACAACTAATCATGGATCCCTTTAATACTTGAAAATGTATTTATTAGACAAATCTGACAAGATGCAAGAGCGAAGTGTAGTGTCATTGTTTTAATGGGGTATTAGCATCTCTGGTCAGAACACAACAACATTTCACTATGAACCCTGGAACATGAATAAATCCCAGTATAAACCCTTAAATAACTGCAGAGTGTCTGAAGGGTCCGACATGCTCTCTGTGTCTCTGTGGACAAACTTGTCAGCTGTGAGGTGCACCCCAGTCCCAAAGGTAGTGGGACCCCAAGACAATGTGTTTATTCAAAGAAAGGGTTGTTCATTACGTATAATAGTATAGATAGTTTCCACAAGACCAGACCAAAAGCTAGTCAAATATGAAACTAACCAGTTTAATTGTGGTCCAATTAACTCTGTTACCTGTGAGCAGCATTACCAAGACTGTATTTTTCAGCTTTTGTTCAATTTTTTATATTTTATTTTTTTGAGCTGTGGCGTCAAAGACTGAATCACATTACAGAGACACAATAGTTTGTTATTAAAAAGCCACAAAAGAAAGATTTACTGTTATTGAGAAGTGAGGAGGCCAAAGGCTAAATGCTGGACTCGCTAACGGCAGTCGGTCACATCAACATGGTTAATTATTCAATTCACAAAAAATAAAGTGCCGACACTACAAATAAACTACGATCCGTGAAGTCTTTGGACACTTTCAACAAAAGCAGCGGTGAAAGATGTGAGGACGCAAAAACTACAGAACTAAATTCTGATCACAGGCAAGTAAACAGCTCTGTTTCATCCATGAATGTGTTTTATCTGCGTTTAAATGTAATCTTTATTTCGTGTCTCAAATTAGCATGAGCAGAATGTGTGTTTTGATGTAATCACTTAATGTTCAGTTCGAATTTCCTTTCTGACTGATTTGAGATCAGTTTAGTTATTTTTAGAAACAATTGAAATCGTCGTCCTAAAAAAGAAACCGGAGCTAATCTGTGCCGTTAGATGGTGTTTGTTTCCTCAGTTCATTAGCCGACCACACTCGTTGATGCTCAATAAGTATCAAAGTTTGCTCACGTTTCTTGTTTTTAAATCCTCAGGATATAACAGAAACTTTGCTTTAATGATTAAACCATCATGGTTCTCACACGCAGTTAATGGAGTGAAAAGCTCAAACAATAAGTTATATTCTACATTATATTATAAGTTATTGGGAACGCTGGTTTTGTTTTTCCCACTATCAAAATGGCGCCTGATGAAGTGTGACGTCATGTGGGATCTATCTATAGTTGTCGAGTTATTGTTCATTTTCTCAAATCAAGCTTTTTCATTTATTCATTTTACTTGTGGTCAAACTCCTAGTGTTCTGTGGTCCTTGTGTTTTCATGGTTTTTGTGGCGTTATTGAACAGGAGTTTATTATTGCACACGATCTGCACCGACACTAAATCCTGGCCTGCATTAACTGACCATGGAGAGATGTGACAGGTCAGATCCAGGTAATGAAATGTATCAAATTAAGGCCTTGTCTTTGAACGGATGATTGAACTTAAATGAAGCTATAGGGTCTTCAGCTAAGGTTGGTTAGTAATTACATGGAAACTGTTCAAAGTTTGTACAATCAAAACAAGGAAACTTTGTGTTAAACACTCGTTTACACACAAACGTGTCACAAAAGTTGTTTCTTTTATTTAAAGCTAATTTGGTTCCAACAGCTACATAACAGTTGTTTATTGGTTTGTAAAATATTATGTTTGTTTCTCCAATTATTGTTCCCTTTCGTTAAATGTATGTCTTCTTTTCCTCAGTCTTCATGCTTTTATTTACTCACAATTATTTTCTTCCATCCAGTTCTCCTTTACCTCCTTTCTGCCTCCCTTCTGTTTAATATCTCTGTAGTCATTCGTTTCTTTCCTTGTTCTTCCTCTTTGCTTCATTTTTTTTTCTTTCTTTGCCTTCCAGCCATTTTTTTCCCTGCCCATTCTGTTCTTGTTTCCCATAACAACGTCATTAGCATTTTCTAGTCGAGCAGGCTAAATTGAAAACACTAAACGAGTTTGTTTCGGTGGTAATTAGCAGTAACGAGAAACTCGGCAAGGTAATGGAAATGACTTGCCTCGTTAAGAGACAACTTCCTGTTGTAAAGATTCGAGTTCCCATTTTCAACAAACAAGTCGGAACATTTAAGGTGGGACTTCGGGGGATATAAAAAAAGAGCAGTAAATTTGTGTCGAAGCTAACTCTAAAGGCTAAAATGATAACGGTTAAATACTTTGCTGCTAAAATTCTTACATTCAGACCACAACTTCTAACTCATGGTTTCAGTTTGCAGGCACATATAGACTTTTATATCAAATTTAAACAAAAACTAAAAAAGAATTTGTCCAAAAGCACCAAAGTCCACAAACCTATTGTAAAAAGAAAAATCAGCATCCTTTGCAGCTGGGATCTCATTCAGTCAGAGAGTGTTTTTTGAATTTGTTGCAAAATTTTTAAAAAAGAAACAAAACACGTCTTTGCTTTAATCTGGGGCCTACAAATATTCAGTTTTTAGTGTTAGTGTTTAAATATAGGAACTAAATGAGCAAAAACGCGATTGAAAGGCTGTAATTTTTCAGCCTTTTCCCGCTCTGTTCTTCCTGTTTCAGTCAACTGAAGCTCCGCCCCCTGGCTTTGCAAAATTTTCTCAAATTTCTACGGAAGCGTATTGCTATCACGCAGGGAAAAAAAAAATCCGAGCGCTATCACGTTATAACGTGATACGTATCTTGTTAAAACGTGATAGTATCTTGTTAAAACGAGATACGTATCTCGTTAAAACGTGATACGTATCTCGTTAAAACGTGATACGTATCTCGTTAAAACGTGATAGTTATCTCGTTAAAACGTGATAGTTATCTCGTTAAAACGTGATAGTTATCTCGTTAAAACGTGATAGTTATCTCGTTAAAACGTGATAGTTATCTCCTTAAAACGTGATAGTCATCTCGTTAAAACGTGATAGTCATCTCGTTAAAACGTGATAGTATCTTGTTAAAACGTTATAGTTATCTTGTTAAAACGTGATAGTTATCTCGTTAAAATGTGATAGTCATCTCGTTAAAACGTGATAGTCATCTCGTTAAAACGTGATAGTTATCTTGTTAAAACGTGATAGTTATCTTGTTAAAATGTGATAGTCATCT